ATGGTGCCAGGGGCCTGGTTAAATCCCCAACAGGTAGGAGGGATCAATCTGTCAATTTTATGTAAAACAGGAGGGACTCTGTACCAGTGGGTCAATATCTTATATCCCTGCTCTTGGTACTTACTCGCCATGGGTGATCTATGGGCAAGGGACAAGATTGTGCTGCTTTGTTGATCCATAAAGGATCTACTCAACTCAGACTCCCACTTCTTGATAAACGGCAAAAGCTCGAAGGTGGCGAGCAAACAAGCTTGTAAATCATAGAAAGAGAATGGCAAATCGGTACTCCCGGGTGGCAAACAGATTCAAACGTTGTGAGCCAGATTCAAACGTTGTGAGCTCTTGCACCCTGGTCACAGAGAAAAGAAAATGCCGGAGCTGGAACACACTCCACCTATCCAGCTGTTGAGAGAGAAAATTCCGAATAGAGTCCTGAGACATCCACAAATGGTTCGAAATAAAGTCTAGCAAACAAGCGGAAAATAGGCGACGAATGTGACTATTTTCTAACCCAGGAGGAAAGTCCAAATCTCCGATCACAGGATTCATCAGGGAAAGGGATGAAGAAATATCAGAAGTCCGAAAGGAAATCCGAGCCGCCGCTATGGACGGAGCAATTGTAGCATTCGAGGAGATCTCCAGGGGCAAATGGGAGGAGAGCCACGGTAGGCCCATTTGTGGAGCCCGTTACTCCATATCCACCCACCGCTTATGTATTGAATGGCAACACCAATCAATCAATCTTGTAAGGTGAGATACCCTATAATAAAGCTGAATATCGGGTAAGCCGGTGTTCTTATGAAGGATCATAGGCTATACGATAACTGGGAGCGTTTGGGGGACCACACAAAAGAAACAATATAATATTTAGAATGTTATCCTCTGGGCGAGTGGAAGCCAGTGCAGGGATTGGCAGAGGGGGGTTGCAGACACTGAGTGGTTGGTTAGTTTGATGAGTCTAGCAGCTGAATTTATGATGGACTGAAGGGGGGATAGTCTGTGTAGAGGTAGGCCAATGAGGACGGAAATGCAATAATCAAGATGAGAGATAACAAGGGAGTGGATGAGTAGTTTTGCGGTTTCATTGGTGAGGCAGGGGTGTATTTTGGAGATGTTACAAAGGTAAAGGCGGCAGGATTTGGATAGGGATTGGATGTGGGGCAGAAAAGTGAAGTCTGAGTCCAGAATGACACCTAGCACCTTGGCATGGGGGGGAAGGACAGATAGTTGTGTTATCAATCTCAAGTGAAAAGTTGGTGGAAGGTGCCCGGGCACTAGGAAATATCATGAGCTCAGTTTTTGACAGATTGAGTTTTAAAAAGTGTTGTGACATCCAGACTGATATGTCAGTTGTAGATTAGTGACATGCAAGCACACTGAGGGGGTGAGTTGTGGAGTAGAAATATATATTTGGGTGTCATCGTCATAGAGATGGTATTGGAAGCCATGTGAGGTTATTAACTGTAGATAGAAAAAAGAAGAGGTCCACGGACTGAGCCTTGGAGGACCCCTACACCAAGAGGAAGAGGAGGAGTTAGATTTGTAGGTGACCCAAAAGGAGCGCTTTTGTAGGTAGGAGGAGAACCATGAGAGAGCAGAGTCTTGTAGGCCAAGCGAGTGGAATTTAAAATTATTTAAAGACATTTTTCATTTTTATTGTTACCCTTTAAGTGATGTTAAAACCACCCAAGCCACGAGTTTGAATTCAAACTTTCTGGGTGTTCTAAAGTTCGAATTCGAACGGAACTCGGGCCTGTTCTGCCCATTACTACTCGACACAGCAAGGGGCAATAGGCAATAGAAAGGCACTGGTAGATGAAAACCACAGGGGGTCTTCCCACAGGACCGAGGAGATCAGTGCGAGAAAGAGACAAATCTGCAAGTCCCAGGAGGCACAAAACCAGATTGCAGGAGCTCACGTTACGATTACTCACAGTTTGCTGGAATCCAGGCCACTAGATGGGGTGCCCATGGGGTAGGACTGCTGATGGGACCGCGGGCCTCGGGCAGGCAGTGGGGTAGAGGGGCCTGGAGCAGGACAATCCATAGAAAAATCAAGCCAGATTGGGACAGGAACAGCCACTGGCTCCAAAAAAGAGAAAAGATCTGGAAAGCTGGTCTGGAGAATGCAGTTGGAAGCCACGACTCTCACAGGAGACGATCAAGTGGAAGGGATGTCCCCAACGGTAAGTTGTGCCAGCCGCCTGAATAACATCCAACATCAGCTGCAAAGTGCGGCGCATGCGAAGCGTGTGAGGGGACAAGTCTGGCATGACTTGAATCCTGGCCCCATCAAAATCTAGCGTGCCCTTGTTCCAGGCCTGACAGGGGATCTCCTCCTTGATAAAGTAGAAGTGCGCTCTGCAGAACACACCCCTTGGAAGGCCCAATGACGAGGCACGGATTCCCTGTGCTCTATGCATACGGTCAACTCCAATGCTGAGGTAGGTGGTTTGTCCAGATAAAGGTTGAGGAGCGCCAGAACTGTAGAATGCAAATCCGGGCCAGATTTGGTGGACAGCTGGGGGAAAAAAAGATCTCCAGTCTTCATCCCCATGCTGGGACAGGCTTGCATCTGATTGCACCGATCCGAGAGGAGAGTCCTCTGCAGGGAGTACAGGTGTAAGAATAGGCGAGGATGGCAGGCTTGGTTGGCAGGACTGGGCATGTGCTGACATAGGAAGGGACCTGTGCTGCTTTCTGTTGGAGGCCAAGCACGAGGCCACAGATCATGATGGCGCCATGTTGGAGGAAGGCTGCAGTTGTCTGCCAGTTCCCGGGCGGGTGAATAAGTCCAAAATGTCAGCCTGACGATGGTCCTAGGTGCTAGAGAGAGACCGCTCCTTTGGCATGAGGTACAAGTTCACCAGAAAAGTCTGTTGATCTGCAGTCCCGGTCAACCTACACAGAGCTCCTGGAAAGTGCTGCCTTACGCCACCATGTTCAGGACACGCCCCCTGATTCTTTCTTTTTATCTTTATTTCAGACTCGGCACAACCTACCATAGACCCTGTACAGCCCACCGTAGACCCCGCACAGCCCACTAAGACCCCGCATAGCCCTTCTGAGATCCTTCATTGGAGACATTAGGCCAGGAACCCGGAGCAGCATGTATGTAGCTTCATATTATTCTGTATTGATGTTTCATGCATTGCTGGCATGTGTAGTCCTCTATAGCTAGTTGGCATTCGGCATTGCTGTATAATGTATTGCTGGGATTTGTAGTCCTCTCTAGCTGATGGAATTATTCTGCATTACTGTATAATGTATCGTTGGGAATTGTAGTTCTCTACAGCTGGTGGTATTCTGCATTGCTGTATAATGTATTGCTGAGATTTGTAGTCCCTCTACAGCTTGAAGTCAGTGGCAGGACTACACAGTGGTGTCACAGCGGTTGCAGCTGGGACCGGGCCCTGGCACTTCACCACTGTCCTAAAATCATTAGTCTGTATTGTTTTAGAAAAACTGTCACATGACACTAAAAAAAGTATCAGTGAGTACTTGAGGAAAAGTATCAGTACTCGTACTTAGTCAGGAAAAAATGGTATCAAATCATCCCTAATGCCAACAAAATATTTCTAACAGCTACGAAATTCATAGTAATAAAAAAATTATTTTGGTTTGTGGATTCATTCTATATACAGTGTTGGAGTACATCCATTAAGAATTGGTTAGCACCTGTTTGTATGAGGGGAAGTACTGTATATATGCTGAAGGGCCTATCTTTAAATTTAAAGTACAGGCAGATATCAAAATCATAAAATTATGTAGCTATGTGGTAATTAAATATTAAAATGTATTTTACATGCAGCCAGCGAATGTATCTGAAAATGTAATCTAATTATCCTGTAATCAACTGTACAGCAGCACTGGGGGAGAAATAGCAAGTGCTAGGGAATAATCAGGTTCCATGGCAGTGCATGTTTTCGTACAGTGAACATGTGGACAGGAGAAGAGAGAAGACTGAGCAGAGGAATTATCTCATTGGTGTTCTGTTTCTCTTCCATGGTCCATTCAGCAAGCTGGAGATGTGTCTATTCTCCACTGTAGTATTGTAGGTGCAACATTATGTTATGTTATGAAGAGTAGAAAAAAGGAAATGGGAACACCCTGAGGCATGCAGAAAGACAGTAGGGAACTATGGCATGGAGATCTTGCGACCAATGTCATTTAGAGATAAAAGATGCCAGCTGGTATCCTAGTTAATCATGTTCCACATATAATTGAAATATAATTTTAGAAGGGTTGACTGTTTAAATGCATATTTCTGTAAGAAACTAAGTCATGACAAAGACAACTGGAGAGCAAAACCCAAGGAGAGCAAAAAAGGAAAAAATATTTTCGTTCAAAACGCAAGGCTGGTGGATCAACAGTTCAAAAACCCTTTAAACAGGACAATTCAAATTGTATGTACACACATATAATTAGCTGTTTTCCAAATGGACTCTTGCGTTGCTGACAAACTATCAAAGACCAAATGGTTCCCACTAATCAACGTCATTAAAGAGTCCAGATGGAACACAATTGTTTAATCAATGGTCAAAAAAGGCATAACCTTTGTATTTATATAGAAAAATATAAATGTTTATAAAACATTTATATTTTTCTATATAAATACAAAGGTTATGGCTTTATTTGATCATTGATTAAACAAACATGTGTTCCATCTGGACTGTTTAATGACGTTGATTAGTGGGAACCATTTGTTCTTTGATAAGAAACTAAGCCGTACAGTTTACTAGGTTTAACACATTGCTTTCTCACTCTTCACTAAATATTAAACTAATATGTAATTTCAGATAGCAAAAAAGACCTCTACTAAAGAGAATACTCTACTAGAGGAAAGAAGTCATTATATACCAACTAAGAATATACATGTCTATTATACAAGTTATTGTCTATTATATAAGTCCCATCAAAGGAATACTATTTATAATTATCAAAGTACCATGTAATGTACTGCATACAATATAAATTGTTAAAGCACAGTAGCAGCATACTTGTCTCCTTTGCTCTTCGAAATTCCAACAAGTTTTTCAATGCCTCCTGCATCTCGTAAGGCTTTGGCATTTTCCATATTTTTAGTTATAACTTCATGCAGGGTGCAGCATATAGCAGTGACAGTGTCATCAGACATAGCCTTGCTTGAAAGGGTGTTGCAGTTGTTCCCCCCAGGAAGACGGTGGACCAGGTCTCTCATGGCATACTTGCCTAAGTTAGGGAAACAGAATTTTTTAAAATTAAAAATACAATTATAAACACAGTATTACATAACTAGATTTTTTTGTACTTACACTAAAATACCATAGTAAAGGTTCACATATTGCACCACCGAAGCATTGTTGGCCTGGACTCATGCTGAATGCCCTTTAGCCTCAGCAGGGCCAGAAACTAAATTAGTTACTAAATTATGTGAAGGCCTAGAAAAGTGCAAAAAGATTAATTGGAAACAATAGAAACACTTTTACACAGTAAAGAAGGGTGCACTCTTGCTTGCGTCTTCTTAGCCTCACAACACTTGTCCAAGGGATCTCTGAACAGTTTAAACTCAAAAGGAAAGCTGTGTGAGAGCCTTTGAATATGTGTATGGTCGGCCAACATTTTAAAGAAATAAATCCTACAGATAATGACCAAGTTCAACAAGGTTGCGTTTAGGCAGGAGACCAAATGATTGGAGTCCAGTGTGGTATCACAGAAACATTTACAGGGTTATTCACAAAAGAGTGAAGAGTTTGGAGAAGGCAGGAGAAGTGAACAATCTAGGCCAAAATAGATGATGTGGAAACATTTTCCAATTCAGCTATGTTGTCCTAGACTGTTCACTTCTCCTGCCTTCACCAAACTCTTCACCCTTTAGTGAATAACCCTGTTAGTGCCTGCGTCATCTGCTCTATCATTTAGATGAGGTTTTGCTGTGCATTCTCCTAGACCAGGTCCTGGTGTAAAAGCCTGGACCAATCAGCAACTGATTGTAACATCAGGAACGAAACCAAGACAGGTCACAGGAGGGAACCTGTAATGATCTTGAGAGAAGTTCCAGCTTCCTGTCTATAGGTTCATTAAAATATGGCACATTCTCGACAGGGATGAAAGTCTCCTTGTTAAGGAAATAAAAATGTACATACACCACTAGAGGTGTAGCTTACTTTTTAGAAAAGGCCTCTACAAAACGAATAAGGTTCATAAAATGCTTGGGAAGGGAAAAAGACCTATATGGTTACTTCAATTCTATCAAAGGAAAGACCTTATCTGAGCACTTAGGCTTGTAGTAACCCAGAGCATCCACCATACTAGACGAAGGGAAGATAGGACTTTCAAGTTCAAGGTTTTAATAACTGCCTGAATGAGACCTGGAACCATTTCCTTTTGTTTGAAAAGAAGGGCTGTGGACTGTTCTTCCTGCTAAGTGAACACAGGGATTCTGCCTTCTGCTGCAGAGGGTATTGGATGAAATCAGGCAATCCAAATTAGACAAGAAATTAAGAGATGGAGGGGATTCTTCCTGTAACCACACCGATCAAACTGAGTATACCGATCAAACTCTATTGTTGTATCTCGGATATACTGCAACCCTAACCCTCTCTCCTAGTTGATACTAAGCAATAAATACTGAAAAGACTCTACGACTCGAGCCTGTTCTATCCTAAAGTGTCGGTGTTGCTGGAGTTAAGGAAAAGGGCTGGTGGCTGGCAAAACAGGTAGGAGAACCTAGTTCATATCCAGCGGCTCCTCTCGTGGTGAGTGCTACATTAGTATATGACTAATGTAGTTAATGTATATGACTGACGCATGTCAGTAGGACAGAGATTCCATTAATTGTATTTATCTATGATTGATCTTTTCATGTAATGTTGAACCTTAATTTTAAATATATAATAATATTTTGGAAATGTACAAATATTGATGTATTGATTACTAGATCCTTATGATTATTATAGGCACCTCCGTATTTTCCTGATGAAGCCTTGAGCGAAACATGTTGAAAACTGGACACATCATAGATCTACTGAACATTTATGGATGAATTTATTTATGCAATTATATAAAGAGATATATGTTATTGTCATATACACAGTATGTATCTATATGTGATCCAGGGATGTTTTGTATCATTTAAATGATATCACCAATCTGTCATCTTAAGTATTTTAATAAAGAATATATATATTTTTATACAATAAGCGACTTGTATGTGCAATTTTGAACTGGGTCCCCTTGCATTTGATGACACTTTTAAAGCCCCATTTCTCTATTTTTGTTTTTGTATTCTATAAACTTAGGGGTGTGGTGTCCTAGTTCGTGTGGTGATTCGCAATTTTGTGTATTAGTATATATTATCAAGTCCGTCATGTCAAAATCACAATATATTTTGGTTTCAGGACTGTAGCAATCTATTTAAACTTTTTTGTTTGCAGCTGCTCCTTACCCTCAAGGTACTGTTGCTACGCACGTAGCAGAAGTATCAGATACTGCTGAATAAATGTTCAGTTATTTATATCAATACATAATGGCAGACTGGTGCACCATTAGCCACTAAAAGGTGCAGGAAAATGTAAAATTAAAGAGGACCTTAATTCTAGAGTTAAGTTTGCTTTAATCAATCAGGCAGGTCTTAAGGAGAGTAGAAGAAATAGGAGGCTTTAAGTGCAACATGTTGCGTTAGGTGTTGAATATGTTTTTGGTGCACTTTTTTTCTGGAAGCCTAAGAAAAAGCAAGCCTTTTGGAGCAAAACACTTGAAGCAAGCATTCTGGGAAAGTTATATCAGCAGAGCATTGCTGGGAAATTTAATCTCAGTGAAAGGCATTTTCCTCCCCTGAGATGATGTGCATGGTCACATGTGCCAATTTTCAGGAAGTAAAAGGAGATCTAGTAACCTGCCCTTAGTAAACATGGCCACTGTCAGAAGACTGGGGACAAAAAGACAAATAAGGTATGAAGAGATATGGGTAAAGGTTCACTTTAATTATATACTCCAGACTTTTCTAAAAGAACACTTTTATTGTACATGACCTACAGAGATATGTGAGTGGTTTAAAGAAAGGAAACCAGCCACAGTCGAGGCTGCAGCCAATTTGACAGGCAAACGTTTGCCCATTTAAAATAATTACGGACAATTTCCTTCATATATTAAAATGTTATCTGCCCCTCTCCTTCTACCAACGCAAAAGGAAATGTCATTCAATGTGGGGATGAACAGATATAGTCCTAATATCCGTTGAAAAGCCTCAAAGACTGTACGTACCAAACAATGTTATACATGAACCAATATTGCTGTAAAATAATCTGTCCACATGAAACTTGATCCAATATAAAACAAATATTCACAGACAATAAGCATAACATACTTATATATCCCCTTTAGAAGAATTCTTCATGTTAAATAATTAACCAAAGTTGCTATGACATAATGTTTAGTTAAATCTCAATACAATATGAGACAATTAGCCACAGGCAAAAATTACTTATTCAGATGAAGAATAACACACTTGTATGCTCCTTTCAGTAAAAGAAGCCCTCTCTATCAAGGACATTGCTAAAAAATATGGGATTCACCACTCAATGCTTATGATGGTCAAACAGCTGCAAAAAACAAATTAAGTTTCAACTGAAGGATCTGATCTACAAATTCACTAACTTCCCCAGTTAAACAACCCCCTACTAGGCCTACCTGTCGGATCTTTTAGTGACCGATGAACCTTCGACAATATAAAGGAACTGGTATTTTAGGATCCAACTCCTTCAAGAATTCAACTGTAGATATGTTAATTTAAACAAATTCTCTTATAATACCACAAAATTACCACCTTTGTCATCATGTTGTAGCTCTTTCAGTGCCACACTTTCAGTCTGTGTTAAATTATTCAGGGCTCCAGTCTTAAAGTTGATATACACCAACTCTTTGGCTATACTCATCTTAAAGTGCCTGAACTTTTATTCATAGTTAGAAAGGATTTAAATTGGTTTCTACTTTGTAAAAAACTTAGCCTGACTTTCTTCTGGTCCTCCTCTATTTGACAATTCTAGCTTAGTAGGTCTAAAACCGGAAAAAGGAAGGTCAGAGACTGAGTCAGTGGGAAAGGAAGAGAGGGCCCATTTGTGGCCCTAACGGTCCAAGAACTCAAGCATGGCTAAAGGTTTTCTTATGAATTTAAACATAATAGTTGAAAATTCCTCGTGAGATAAGCAAGAGGAAGGGGTAAGCCTGAAGGGGTTAACGATGCCCCTGAGAAGGGAAGCCAACATAGGCAGGGTGCAGTGGTCTGTACTATCAATGTCAGGGCACCTAAAGGAGGCCCTACAGATCTCACTATGGTGTAAGCTAAGCAAGAGCCTGTGTGACCCCCTGTGCCACCCCCTTTCCACTTGTGATCCACCATTGGTATACATGAGTGTGATTCTAGTCCCCAAACGGATACTCACACTTCCACTGCAGTGTGGAATGGGAATGTTTTACAAGCCTAAGTGTGTGCAAGGAGTGAGCCTGAGCATGGTCTGAAGGGCACGTGTGTCATGAAAAATGCAGTATGCTTGCATAGCACATCTAATCAGAGGGAGACTGTGTAAGTCCAGTGAAGGTGTCTGGGCCAACTACCTGAAAATGGTGCCAAATTTAAATTTGATCTCTTTTCATCCTCCAATGTTAACCTGGTGGCTGTGGAGTAGCAACCACAAGTTCCCCCAAAGGGAAAAGCTCCCTGATATACCACAGTATTGTTGCGTCTGCAGACCCTGCAGGTGGTGGTGGTGCTGGGGACAAGCCCTGTGCAGTAGTCTTTGCCCCTCCAAAGGGCACACTCACACAGGAGTTTACAGTAACTGGGATTCCATCACATGGGTGCACCTGAGCCCTGGAACTATGGGACACCCTGTAGCTACTCATCATGTTGCACAAAGTGGGCGCCCAAAGCAGAATCCAATACACAAAGGACAACATTTCAAGCTGGCCCCTAAAGTTTTAGTTCGGTCCCCATGCCTTGCTGAGGAGTAACTGATCCAGAAACTGCAAACATGAGCTACGGCTGCTCTGCAGCACTGAAAAAAAGTAGAAGAAAAAACATCTTGATAAAAGGTAAAAAGGATTTCCTTCTCTTAGAGCAGAGAGAAGATGTCCATCTCCTAAGGACACTAGCAAGTTGGGAGTGGGAGGAATTATAATGGGCTGTCCTTTTCAGTTTTGCTCACCAGTGCCCAATCTCCTGAAGGTGGTAAGGTAACTCAATTGTTTTATATAACCAAGCCTGTGCCCCGTGATGCACAACCTAAAAAATATGTTTTTATTAAAACATAACCTGTTGATTTATAACATCATCAGGCATGCTCAGTCAGACAAATGGCATTGTGCAAAGAATAATAGCACATACTGTAGCAACCGAAAGGGATTTACGTTTTAGTGATATAACTGAAATAAAAGGGATATCCAACTGCTGAGGATCCTATGGGCTACTGTGTTACACACTCTAATTATGCTATTTGTTGTGTTTAATGAAATAGACAGCATAAATGGATATATTAATTTTATACTCACAGAAAGTTTTTGTCATGATGTTAGTTTTGTCAAGAATGAAGATGTTTAACTGGATAACACATGCAGCAATTAAAAATTGCATGTAGGAAAAAAAAACACAAAGAACTTACCTATTAGTTCTTTATTTCTAACATCTAAGGCCATATTCCGTAAAGCAGTAGCAACAGCACACACCACTCTGTCATTGTCTATTCGAAGGAGCTCCACCAAAATTGGCAGTCCTTTTTCTTTTCGAACAGCAGCACGAATATATATAGACCACTAAAAAACAATTTAAAGGCAGTTGTTTGTTGTATATGATATTGAGTAGGTTAATACACAATACATGTCAATTTAAAGTTGCAACCACTCCATCCCAAAATCACACTATTCTAAATACAAAAAATACCTTCTTTATGCCCTAGTCAGAGAACCTAATACACATTGGTTTCTCTAGAACTGTAGTTATATGAAATAAAGCAGAGGAGGTAAATGAGGGAGGTCACAATGGTTGAAATTTAAAGCCTCACTAGCTTGAAATGGTTTCCTCATCTTATTCATCAAACTGCTGTTGCTTATATTCATGTTAGCAAACCCTGCTGTGGGAGTATTAAAGAAAGGTGCAATGTTCCTATTCATTTTTCTAGCTATGAGTATAGGTACATGTAGGTACATGTAGGTACATATATGTAGTGATAGATACAACTTTTAAACCTGTTGTCATGCCTAGAAAATATTGAGTTAGAGGGAGGAGGGAGAAAGGTTTTTCATCAGGAAGCAAGAAATATTAAACACAGTATGACGATATTGAGGTCTGCTGAACCTCAAACTGATTGAAGAGAATAGGAAGTCATACTGAAACAGTGCTGCCCCAACATTTTTACAAAATGTGTAAGTCTGTGATAAATCATTTATATTTAAATCTGTTGTTTGTGTCCAGTAAGAGGCGACAACTTTTAAAAGCGTATTTGGGATTAAAAACCCCATACAACAGAATGCAACCAGCTCTTGTAAATCAAGCTGAACAAACAAAACTTCTTGTAGGATCATAAATCCTGATTCATCCATGATGATCTAGAGAACCTCTTAAGGTCTAAATGACTGTTATCAGCATTACGTTTTTACTTTAAAGCTCAAGCAGAGCTTAACAGGCCTTAATGCCTCTTTCAAATAGTCTAACAGAACAGTTTATAACAATACACATTCCGAGTCTTGTTTTCTATTTTTTTAACCTGAAGTAGAACTGGCAAGATCTATTTATAATTTGTATTGCCTGCTATGACAAAGCTACATTATTGACAAGTATTTACACAAACGCATAAGAGAATTACAATCAGTTTGATACCTGACATGCCTCGACTATCTTGTGCAAGAGGCTAATTGTTCACATTACATGTCCCAAAAGATTTATACATGCAAATTATTTCATGTTTACTCTTTCAAATTAAACATTTTCTTTCTACTCAATAAGAAGTTGGTTGTCAAACTGTAAAATATTGTCATCTGGAAACTATCATAAACACTTCCGACACCCCCTCACCACACCCTCTGAACCTTTGATTGGTTATGTAATTTCTGTAAATGCTCTTCTTAAGGACCAGAGAAGATGGCTGCATCTGCAATCTGCAGCTCTCAATTTTCCATTAAAATGTTGCATAAATTCTGAGACTCATTTTGAGGGCCAATTACTTTGTCAAATTCGGACTCTGATGGGACCAAAGACCAGATGAGCTTTTTACTTTTAAACCTATTTATTTTGCTGCTGCTTACTGTCTATATCTCTTTCTGTAAATATTGTTTTCGCTGTTTTTCTATTCTTTCATTAAAATGATCTTTAAAATATTTAGATACTGTGAAGTGTAAATGTGCCTTCACAGATCTGGAAGATTAGCAGGGAGCACAAGGTTCAAAAAATCCTAGGACCCCTTTGCAACAGTAATTTGGAGCTAAGAAAAAGAGACAGTATACACGGTTTCCTCCAGTGATTCTCACTAGAAGCCTCTCACTGGCAGACAGCAGCTGCCCAGGGGAAGAAGTGTGTGTTAACCCCGGGATAACTGTTTTACCCCAATGGTTGCTGTGAGTATTTGCTGTGCTGGGACTGTTGTGTACTGCTATCAGCTTTGGGGGCTTGTAGGTCGTAGCCACCTCGCTAATAACAACCTTTTGGACCCCTTTCAGTCCGGCTTTTGCCCCAAACACTCCACTGAAACCGCCCTCCTTAAACTCACCAATGATCTAATAACCGCTAAAAGCAACGACCACTATTCCTTACTCTTGCTATTAGACCTCTCTGCTGCTTTTGACACTGTTGACCACCCGACCTAGGACTGGAAATGCTCCAGGCATTGTGTGCTCTGCATGGAGTAAGATTGTCACTGGCGTTGGATCACTGTGTAGTTTCCCCAGGCCTCTATTTTTTGAATTGTTGGAACCCTGACCCTTTGTTTGATATATTTGTTTTGCAATAACTGCTATCTCTGGCTGTGTTGAAACCCTCTCAATGAATGCCCTGCACATTGAGTCCAATGTGCTTATCCCCAGGGTGCTCTCTCTCTGCTCTGTTCGTTTGTCACGGATTGGAAAGAATAACAAGTAGGGATATGCATTAGCTTGGCGCGAACCAAGTTCACCCGAGTGCGCTTGAGGAGTGTGGAGGGTATGACTGGAGGTAGTATGTGAAGAGAAGCAGCAGTGTTGAGTGTATGAGAGATGGCAGTATATGCAGGAAAGAGAGCTAAGGGTATGATAGAATGCAATATGTGGAAAGGAGTGTGGATAATGGGATGTGGTATGGGAGAGGAGTTCAGGGGGTGTTAAAGATGCCTGAATGTGCAGGGAAGGAATATGCATGGAATGATCCCAATGTTTTTGAAAGTAGGTGAGAAAAGGAGGTTGTGACAGCATACATAATGTACAGACAGTGTGTGTAAGACATAGGGGCAAAATAGTGGGAATGTGGGAGGATAGGGCAGACTTTTGCAGGCCAATTTTCTTTTTAATGTGTTGGCAGATTCTCTTTATGGAGACATCAGGGGTTTGTTAGACACTTGGTGCCTCCCCCTTGTATCAGATACATATGGAGGCAGAAAGTGTGTGTTATGGCTGGGTTCTGTGACTAAATATGCAGTCTGCCTGCTCTGAAAGAGTGTGCATGTGTGATTGTGTGTGTGTGTGTGTGTGTGTGTGTGTGTGTGTGTAAGATGACAATAAAGGGGAAGAGAAGAGGTAAAGAAGCAGACACACAGGAGGAGATTGTAACATTGCTAAGGACAGTGTGTGGGGGAGTGTAAAATTAGGGAGGCAAGCAGACACAGAGAGATGCAGCACGACTCTGGGTACTGTGACTAAAAATGTGCTCTGCCTGCCTGTATGCATATGCTAGCACAATATGGCAATACAGGGAATAGTGAAGAGAGTAAGAAGCAGAGTTACAAGAGGTGAATGTAACATTGCTAAGGAGAGTGTGTGGGGTGAGTGCAACAAGCACATAGATGCCATAGATACTGGGAAGTGCGTGTGCTGGAAGCAGGAAATACCAGTGGGGTGGTGGGACTGCTAGACCATGCTCTTTTCAGCTACATTCAAGGCTGCAGTGGAATACCCAGTGACAAATTAAGAATTGCATTTTCCATTAAAAGAGAAGTATGGCCCAACCTTTTTTGGCTATAGTTCTCTTTTGGGTGACAGGAGGACATTTACTAATGTCCTCCTGTTACCCAAAACTCAGCGAATAGCGGGCTACTGCCTGCTATATGTTGACAGCGCAGAGTCGCGCTGCAGCCAGGAAAGATCCACCCCCATTGCCTGATTGACAGCTGATTGACAGCTGGCTCTGCCTCTCTAGAGGCAGAGTCGGCTGTTCCCGTCCCTTCCCTGTCTGTCCCTCCAGTCAGTGATGGAGGGGACTTCCCTGCAGGAAGTGGTGAGTGACAGCTCTCTGCAGGGAGAAGATATTGAACTGAAATATATATATATATATATATATATATATCTATCTACACACAGTATATATACACAGTATATCACTGCATATTAGGTAAAATGTTGACCCATTCAAATACTAGTTCATGCAGGACCTCACACATTTACTCATATCTGCTGAATACACGAATAGGTTCAAGTTTGTTTTTTCAGTAACATTTACCAGAGATTGTAGGTTTGCCACCCTTCAGCGACAAGCAACCGGTAATTTGTATTTTTTTTATATGTTAATCTATAAGTGCTGATATACTAGATTAACCGGATCTGAAACCGGAACATACAGTATGTGAAGAGCAGCAAAGCAGCTACTAATAATAGAAATAAAAAAACACTACTATACACCCATTATATTATAAACACTGCTTCTGCATTGTGTTCCTATGAGTTTGCTTAGTTTATATGTCAAGTACAAAGTGAAGAAAGTGAACTTAACACAAGAAATGGTAAACTGTTTTCAACCAAGCATAACAGCTTACCTGAAAACCAGCTCTTTCCAATTTGTGTGGCATATGATATGATTTGATCCCCTTTGGATCTTCCTGGGTATGAGCAGAGACAGGAGATCACAATGACCCAGACATGAAAGCAGTAACCCCAGCTCAGGAGCTGCGCTGCTTTTGCTCAACAGCCTCAGGTTCATTAGTTTTGTACTGTGCATGACTCACTTGCCTTTGTTATTGTCAGGGTTTCTTCCCCTTGCTCCTCCAGTTGGCTGCAGCATGCATTGTTTGCAGTATGTCTGGCACAGTCTGTTCACACTTTGGCATCTGACCTCTGGCTTGGCATCGACTATGTCCTGGACTTCCTCTATTGTTTTTTGCCATTTTTGTTTATTGATATTTTCAATAAACCCCTTTTTAATTTTAACCTGCACTTTAGTTTCTGTCTGGTTTCTTGGTTTCCTAACAGTCATACATAAATGTGAGAAAAGACAGACTTCTAGATTGTAAGGAATAACCCCTGATGGGGATTAAGTACTTCCACTCCACCCATTATCCAGAAATCCAAATGCATGTGTTTGACTGCTTTAGCACAATGTTGAGGAAGTGAAAAAAAGTTAATGCTTCCCAATAAATAATCTTACTAGTTGAGTGAGGAAGAAGAGTGCAAAACTCCATAATGGTTTACCAGAGTATACTTATAGGGGATTCTTTACCATGAAGTGGTCATGCAGTATATGTAAAAAAAAAAAAAAACATGCTTAAAATAACATATAAGCTATACTGATTAGGTCAAAAGAGATATTGACAGCTTGGTAGAAATATTTTTTATTTTATAATATAAACACCAAATACCAA